GTGAATTCCCAGAAGCAAATGTTAAACTATATGTGCTGAACATCAAATGTCATATAGATTTATGATAAAGTACATTGGAGAAAAGAGTAAATGTGAGTTTACGATTAAGATATGTGGACAGAAGAAGGGGATTAAGGAAAGAAGGAAAAGGAAAGGGGGAGAAGAAAAGATCCTGCAAATGTAGTTAAGGCAAGGGCTGAGGTCCAAGGTAAGGGTGATCCCGTACACTGGGCTTCAGTCTCCGTCTCCTGAGCCCCCCCACGACAACAACAAGCAAGGGATTTGGGGGAACGGAGGGGGTCTCTAGTGAAAGCATTGTAATTCTGGTATACATTTCACAACAAATAAATTACACAAGTAGAACATCAGTTTAACTTTAATTTGTGTGCTACTATTAGTATTTTGGGAAAAAAAAATCCTATTACAAAATTCTGTGGCCACTGTTTTTCAATGATCATCAATTTTGTCTCTAACAATTAAGCATGATTTTTAATTTTCGTATTTTTGATGACAGCATGATTAGTGATGCAAATTATCTCCCATTTTCTTAGAGGGGAATTTTACATCTTACATTTACTGTAATGTACTGTGATATTACATCAATAAGAAGGGCAGTGTAATTGAGGTAATATATATTGTATCACATTACTAATTAGACCTCTCAACAAAAAAATACATAATGCTATACTCAAAATTTCTTCAGATGAACCTATTTCCTTTTTCATCATCAAAGTTTAACGGACAAAAGTTTGAGGTACATATATTAAATTTATTTGCACAGTTTGGCCATTCTTATTGATGGGAAAGTTCTAAAAAAAAATTATATGAATCCAAGAACCTAGCATGGATGAAAATATGTTGCCTATATTTTACTAATTGTTAGCATACACAGAATGTCTTGGTTTATCCTTTAAATAGATAGTACATTTTCCATTCAAATGGAATAAAGTGTTTAGCAATCTGTAAGACAGTAAGACAGTGTGCTATTGCAATGAAAAGTGTGAAAATCTTGAAACCTTTGACAAAATGCTCATGATTATATTGGAAAGCCCTAATTTCTTTTGAGACAGCTTTCAGATTACAAACTCCTTCAGGTGTTTGGTGTCATTGAAGTATATGTGAGCAGTTATGTATCCTTCTTCAAAAGCATTCAGCATTTCAATGCTCAATCTGCATTATAATCAGGATGTAAATAAAATACAGTAATACAACTTAATATGTGTATTATCTATTCATACAGAAAGTATACAAAATGTTACTGCCTAGCTATAACAGAATACAAACCCAAATATATAAACAGTACATCATTCACTCATTCACTAAGCAAACAAATGCATTCACCAATTTTTCTGCTGTAGAAAATGCTAAATGAAAACAACAGATAGATACATATGTTAAAGGAAAGTATACAAACTGAATAAGCCCAATCCATGTCATACTTCCTTAGACAATGCACATTGCAGAAAACATGGCATACCTTGCAAACTTGACTTTACTCTGTTACACAAACTTGACTTTATTCTGTTACACACACATCCACACAAAAAAGTTTCCTCTGAGAGAAGAAAAGTATAAAAGAGCTTACATTTTAAAAAGAAACTCCAGACACAGTATATTGCTATAAAATGGGTCATTTCACATCAAAGACTTCAAGTGTATGTTACGAAAAATGGCAAATTGTGGTAGGGGGAAACAAACATAGTTGGAAGGATCTATGAAATCACTTTAGAGTTATAATACATGATAGTTGAATGATACATTACATACAATTCTTGAAAAAAAATTAAATCATTTAGTAAGTATCAAAGCTTGTCCCAGAGCTGGGAATATTGTGTTAATATGCTTGTTACACAATTTGTTTATGTTCAATACATGAAACACTTTTTACACATACGAAAGAGCTCATTCATTATTTAAAAGGATTTGACTTAAACAGATGGAGAGATAATTCATCACAAAAATAACAAAGCATCTACGTAATTATTTACAAGTTCATGCACTGTATACAACAACAGCATTATATTTCAAAATACAAAATATATTAATATTAATGAAACAATTTTAGAAATCTCTGACACGGCTAAGTTTGGCATCAACTTCTTCAATAATGTTATCAATCCGTTCACTGACACCCTTGAAGGCTGAAGGAGGGGGACCAATCATTTTGATCAAAGCTGGCACTTCAGTGGAGGAGTAACAGAATCTGAAAAGTGAGTGAATGAAATTACTTAACCATTAAATTCTCCAAAACAACAAGAAGATCAGTCTTCACCTCAAATATATTCACTAGAAAGAGTGAAAGAAGTGTTGTATTTCTAATTTATCACTATTTACACCATTCAAAAGATGTTTATATAAAACACCAACCTGCAAAGAGCTGTCATTGTTCTCCATAAAAGCTCCTCTGGGGGATGGCTGTTGAGGTACTGAAGGATTGCCATAGCCAGCTCAGGAGCAACATCATCAAAGACTACAGTTTTTACCTCTTTCGTACCTAGGTTGTACATGAGTGCTGTGCCATATTCTTGAACCTGTAATAATCATGATTATCATTTAATGTACACATATAACACTGGGATATCAAATATTACTGAATGTCCTTTGCTCAAAGAATGACAATACAGTAGTTAATTTCCATGGTTTGCTGATCAGAATCAAATCCATAAAAATTAGAATAACATCTGAAGATTTTTACTGCAAACTCTAATATGCTACATTTCCAAGAGCCTTAAAATACACACCCTTTGATTCTGATGTAGAAGAGCATTAACAGCAACTTTTGTAGTAACTCGGATGTTGCTGGTCTGCTGACCTCCATCCTGCCACTCACTGATATATAGCAACCACTCCGATGGACTCAGGTGCTCAAACATGTTGCAGAACTAAACAAGTATAAAAACACAGTACTGGTAAAAAAAATACGCCTCCTTATGTGTTATATAAAAACAAAAACAAATGTATAAAGAAAATCAATATTGTGTTACTGACCAAGATGAAATCTGCTTAAGAAAATGGTGAATGGTGTTAGAATGTTGACAATTTTTAAAGTTTATCTACTAGCTATCAACAGCCTTTGCTTGAATTTGAATTCTCTTCATATATTGTAGAGAAATATGGATATAAATATTTGAACAGACTAATTTACTAGCATTATGAGTTCAAGAAGTGTATATCAAATACTTACGAAGAGAGCTAAAGATTCCTGGTGAACAGGTGGCAGACTTTCAACCTTGTTAGCATAATTCATGATTGTGTGGTCTTTGCGGTCCTGGTGTAGCAGCAAAATAACATCATCTTTAAGGGCAGCAGCAGCCATAAGTCGAACAAGGTGAAGACGTGCATCATCTGGCACACTTGGATCATGAAGTACTCGGTTAAACAAAATACTGAAGTTTTCACCAAGGGCCCAGGATCCTTCATCTTCTACTACATAAGCACGAAGTTCATTCAGATGTTCTTTTTCTTCAGGATTCAGAATATTTCCAACACTGGCTGCTAGCCCCTCAAATTCAGCTGGTGCCTGCAAAGTAATATGTACATCTTCTTTATTCTCTGTTAACATTCCACAAACTATCAAAAAAAAAATCAAATAAATTAACACTCACAAATTAAAGTAACATTCATATCTTTTCTTTTGCACTTTTGCACACCACAAAAATAAACTGCTCTAACACACCATCTACCAAGTCAGACCACTCTACACATAAACAGGAATATGGAAGCCACGACTTGAGCAGCAACAGCACCAACGTTGTCATGCAGGTCAGAGGAGCTACGGCGGATGTGGTGGACGTAGACTGATGATAGGTAGGTGGTGGTTTTGGGGGTTCACCGCCGGGGCACAGCAGGCGGGAGAGCAGCCACAACTGGCTGCAAATACCCACCTGCTCAACAACGCTGGTGTAGACCACTGGTGGCTCGTACGGGCGTGCAGGGCCCAGGTAGCAGAGCAAGGCACTCTGGGGCTCTGGGGAGCCAAGGTCAGTGTGACTGTACCGTGGCACAGGTCGATATACCACCAACGAGTCGTGTGAGCCACGCAGACTCCCGTTGGGGGACGCCAAGAGGATGGGCGAGTCCGTGGAGGGGGGTCGGTCAAGGAATTCTTCCCCACGTGGAGGGGGGGTTGTGGAACAGGTTGATGGGGCAAATTCAAAAGTGGAAATGGATCTAATTGATGATGGGGCACGGGGCAAGCGCCGCAGGAAGGAAGATATAGATTCTAAGGAATAAGCTCGAGAAGGTGGAGCTGGTTTTGGGCCTACAGGTGATGATGGCTGTGAGCGTGTAACAGGGGATGGAGTTGGTTGCGGTGAGTGGGGGATTGGAGACAAAAGAAATTGAGGTGGAGGACCTTGAGACTGTGATTTACAATTCAGTGTTGAACAAGAATCAAAGGAGAGTGAATGTGATCTTGATCTCCAACTTAAACAGGATTCATAAGAAGATGCTCGTGAAATTCCATGCATGCGTCTGAATGCAGCATTATTGACTTCAAAGTACTGTTGATCAGGAGTTACTGTTCGCATAGTATCTACTGTGGCAATTGAGGTAACTGAGTTACTCCGGCTTAGTAACGGGGGCGAAGGCGAGTTTTCTGGGGATGATGGCAATTCCTGGGGTGTTGGGACCCGGCCAACTGGATCCACAACATACAGAATATAGTAGGAAGAGCCAAATGAGAGCCCTGATGTCGAAGAGCACATTGACAAGTCAGAACAAGTTGTTGAGGAGCGAGAGAGAGAAGGGGAAATCATAGCTGTGTGGTATGTACGCGTGGAGGGAGAAGTATTAGAATTGCTTGATGCTTCTTCAATAAAAATGTCTTGGGGAAGTTCTGGTGTAGGAACACGAGTGGACCTAGTTGAGGTACCAGACAAATTGTTATTGATATCAGAATCTTCTGACTTTGATGAACAAGAAGAGTTCTTCACTGATGAATGTGAGGAAGACTGTGATGATGAATGGTAAGAAGATGAAGAAGAGCAAGTTGAGGAGGAGGATTGACTGGAAAGGGAGGAACAAGATGAAGAGGAAGAGGATGAGGAGTAGAAAAAAAAAGGAGATGAATTTGAGGATGAGGATGAGGGTGATGATGCTAAAAATAAGTCTGAACATGAGGATGAGGCAGACAACGACAAACATGGGGAAAGGTCGCCTGATCTATAACCGGGGAGAAGGTAGGACCAAAAGTCATCATTATCAGAACCACCATCATCATCAACACCAGTACTCACATCCAGTTCATCCTTGAAGACAATAGGAGGTTCACGCTCTACTTCAGGTTCAGGTTGTTGGGGAGGTGACTCTCTGGCTGGGGCCTGAGCAGGTGCAACTTCCTCAGGCTGTACCTCTTGAGCAGAGTCTGCCATTGTGCCTTCTAAAGCAGCTGCTTCACCTTCTTCAGTAACAGTCTCTGTGTTTACAAGTCTGTTTTCAGGCTGGGGTGTGGCACCTCTGCTGCTGGGAGATGGAAGACGCTCAAAAGGCTCTGGCTCTGTCGATACAATCTCCCCACTGCTTGAATTTTCAACCGAGGTTCTGCCTGTGTTGAGCCCTTCCAGAGACTCAGTTACCTCCTGCAGAGGGTCTGGCAAGATCTCCTGTGGATTATCTCCTTCTGAGTTGTGTCGGGAGTGAGAAGCAGACTGTAGGCCTGAGCAGCAAGGGGAATTCTGTTGCTCCTCTATTGACTCAACATGAGTGACATGCTTCTTTTTCTTCTTCTTGCCTTCTTCTGAGGTGTCTCCACTTGACTTGGACTTCTTCTTCTTCTCCTTTTTCTCCTTCTTTTCCTTCTTTTCTTTCTTGTCTTTCTTCTTCTTTTCCTTTTTGATTATCTTTTCATTTATGGAATTGCGGCGATCTTCTAGTATGATTCCGTTTTGTCTGTAAAAGACAACATTTACAATTTAAAAAGGAGTAAATTTTAAGAGAAAAGCTTTTTATATTTTATCTATTAATACTTTATTTTCTAGAATAAAATTTAATCTATCTAGATATGTTTTGTATTAAGTATAAAAATAAAAAAAATAAAAATAAAAACTGAATCTAACTTTAAACACTGTATTATTAAATATCTAAAAATATTATGAGGACATTACAGTTATAACAAATTTCCTATAAGTGAATTTTGTCAGCAATATCATCTGACCAAAACATTTCACTTTTTTCAATATGCAATGAATACTGTTATTTTACTTTATACCTACATGTTCTTTAGGAAATTAATTTTATAGTTTAAAGGTTAGAATGACCAGTGAAATTAGTATCAACACTGGTTTTAAATTTGTTGATTTTTCCTTCTTTCATTGTTGTTTGTTAAATGATTAAGCTAAGTAAATGGACTTACCTATGCAGATAAACACACACACTGTATAGGATCCAGACTGGTTTCATGCCCTGCTTTCCTTTGTTAGTGTTACATAATGTAATTCTAAATGTTTTCATGAAATACTAGCCAAGATTTATTCTTTTCAATATGACAAATAATGTTTTAAATACATGCACTTTTGGAAATGGTATTTCATAAAAAAAACAATACATTAGTATTTATTACACGTTACTGTTTTTCATTCTTTAGGTAAAGCCAAAAAATTGTCTCTCCTTTAGAGAATCTCATTTACTCATAATTACTCACCTGATCTGATCTATAGCATTATTCAACTCCTCCAATTCAGGTGAGTCGTCGTGTCTATGTGATGTCACTTCAGATGGGATGTAGCTATGCAAATTATTGTTGAAATTTGCAAAGTTAACTTTTCTTGAGTCTGTGGACTTGATCTCCAAGTCCTTCAAGGCAGTCTTCAGTGTTTCTCCAAGTGAACTGGTGGAAACAACAGCCAAAAATGACATATGATGGTATATTATTAATATATGGAGGTAGGATGTGAAAGGGATATATGAGAGAGAGAGAGAGAGAGAGAGAGAGAGAGAGAGAGAGAGAGAGGGAGAGGGAGAGGGAGAGGGAGAGGGAGAGGGAGAGGGAGAGGGAGAGGGAGAGGGAGAGGGAGAGGGAGAGGGAGAGAGAAGGAGAGGGAGAGAGAGTAGTGACTCATACTTTACATATCAAATTTCAAAACTAAACAAAAGATCAGTACATGATCTATACAAAAAGCAATTGAAAATATATTGTCATCTGAATCACCAAAAAACAAATTATGCCTCAGTTCTGATTAAAGTTAAAAGCATGCACATACCCTTTTTCAACTTAATCTAAACCAATTAATAGTTTGAAAATACACACCTCTTACCTCCTAGCCATCATCAGCAAGTGTCAGACTTATCAAACACAAAGGAACTTTATATCACAAACATTTCCTTCCTTGAAAACATGTGCTCTCAAGTGTAAAGCAATATGAGCATCAATTTTCTGCTGTGTCTTCTTGGGAATCTGTATACTTGTTTATCTG